ATAGGGGATCATTGGGCTTCTTCTGTAATATTGTACTGCACTGGTGCTCTGTAAATAAATACAACCAAGACATCAAAAAGATATCTGCAGACAGTAACAGACGAATCCAGCTACTCTACACCTGGTGAGAAAACAAAAACAAGTGATTCTACTATTTAATCTTTTACTTTATGACCCTATTGTGTATATTTCTGTGTATTTATTGTTCATCTGTGATAGAACTTGAATAAATGGCAGTCTGTCAGAATCAGAAACCAAAAAACATTGAATGCTGAACAGGAATAGTAGGGGATAGCTGTAAAAAGGACCTTTAAAGTTCTGGACTGGAAATAGGGGGAAAGTTAACAGAATTTTTCTGTCATTTTTTTGAGGTTCTTTAATACAAAAAATGTTTTAATCATAAATATACTTTGATTAGTATGCAATTATGTTTTTCAACAAACTGATGCATCCTCATGAACTTCGAGTTAATCCATTAAAAATACACAGGAGTTGTCCCGTCATCTTGAATACAGATGGATTACCATTCTGTGTGTGTGTGGCTAGAGATTCTGCATATGAAGTACACCTCATGTTACACATGAAAATGTGCATAAACATAATTACACACATTATTACTCATTGTCAGCAAATTAGATATGTTTCCACACAGCTGACAATAAGCTGGTTAAACAACAACAACAGCTGGTTATAAGCTTTTATTATGCCAGCTAATGGCTGAGAAGCAGCTTGAATATATTTTCACATCATATGAGACTTTATTCGATAACAGTTCAACAATACTCGATCCACTTCCAAGAATGTTTCACGAACAGCAGCTAACAGTTGCTAACAGCAGCAAAAACAGCAGCTCTTACCAACAGAAAAGTTCACGGGTATCAGACAGAAGTGAGCTTCACTGACTCGTTGACTCGTATTGAACTTTCACAAAGTTTTACAGCTTCCTCTCGAGTAAATAGATGTGAACAGATAAAAACGTTGGACAATGCCTTTTAAGTCATTTTAAAGCAGAAATCAAACTTGTTTTAATCATCACAATGACAATCAAATCTCAGTTTAATATTGCAAGATAGTTTAACTGCGCGCAAAGACAAGAAAGAAGATTTAAGTTCTAAAAATATATGTATGCCCACTTCAGAGCACATGCATTTTTACATCAACAGACCAGACTTATGTATGAGTCATAATGGACAGAAGTGAGAGAGAATTTTGAACTTCACTCCATTTCTGTCAGCTTCAGTCGTGACATCGAGAGCAGAGACAGGAAGTCGGCCATACTGTGTCTTCACCATGCTTTCTGCATTTATGACCAAAATGGCTGAATAAGTACACATGTCCTCAGTGTCACTATGTGTGTAGAGAATAGGAGAAACCTAGTGCTCAATAATGTATCTCTGGATTCCCAGTTTCGTATATTCATTTAGTATTCCCTTACTGTGTATGCATTATACATGTTTCACTGTAAAACCTGTTGGGACTGAGGCATGTCTTACCTGCTTTAGAACTGTGTACCCTCTGCTATGCAATCCCTTACCTAAAAATGTAATGTTTCCATCAACAGGATTTACTGTAGTTCAAGCTTGGACCAAAGTAAAGACACTTTTAACACCATAGCCACAGAAGTTTGCTTTCAACTTTACATTAAATATTTCCTTAGACCAACTTGCCATCTATGGCAAGTTGGGTCTCAGTTTTTTCTGGTCTCTGAAGGGTTTCTGTGCACTTTTATCTTAAAAGAGAGAGCGAGAGGGAGTGCAGGAGGATATAAGATATGAGAGGACATTGGAAATTGCTTTATTACTTTTCACCCAAGCTCAGCGCCAGACTTGGAGGTGAGGTGAAATCATTAACAGGAGGCCATTATGCTGCCGAGAGAATATCCCTAAGGCAGACCAGCACAGTTATTCACTACCGTGTGATTTAGAAATACATCAGGAAAGAATGTCTTACATTTCAGTGTTTGAGGGAATCTATTAAAGATAACCAAGTGGCACAGAGAAACCACCGTTACCTGGGTGATAAAAATCATGTGAGTAAAGAGAAAATATGTATTTTTGGAACCTCAGACAGGCCACACATGTGCCCCTCTGTGCTGCCTGCCAGCTGGAAAGCAAAGCTCTAGAAGTCACTGATCCTGCACAAGTCCTGCCCTGCATCCTTGTTGAAATGCATAAAACTGTTTGGTCTTCAAAGCGCAGCACAATCTATATTTCCTGACTGCTATCATTACTTGCATCCCATTAAACGGCATGTTATTCTCCATTGTGTGCCCCTTTTCCAGATAAACTCCACTTGGCGTCTTCACTCCTCCAGCAGCCATGGCTCTCTCTGTATCTGGAGGAACCGTGTTCACTGTACTCCTCATTAGCAGGTAAGAAAGGACAACCACTGGGATCTACAGCCACAAAGTCATCAGCCATGTCAGATTCTAATTTCTAACAACACCAAAGCTTTGTAGTCAATGAGCTCAGGAGGAGATACTTAGTCGCAACATTTTTGTGTAAACCATCAATACTCAATAACAACTCTCCATGCATGAGGCAAAAAGCATTGAAACTCCATGCCTGCACTGATGACACTGCTGAGCAGAATCGATGAGGCAGCATCCAGCACCACATGGATACAATTGGTGTTAAAATCCCTGCAGAGGTCGTATGGTGAGAATGATGGGATGCTTTGGTGCACATTTGTATGCTGTTGGGAACCGAAGACTCTGCTCTTCTTGCAGTTTATTCTCAAATTATAGAGTGCACTATGCACATTCTAGATAAGACAAACCCTCTGGCTCATACTGAAACCAGCTATAAGATATGCTCTGTATAGTGCAGCACTTCTTTTCACAAAAAGCTATGGGATTTGTGTGTTGTTGTGGGTTCCCGCCACCTAAGGGCCTCATTTATTAAACACTTCTAAAATATACATTTATATTACAAATATAAGTCTGCTCAAAAGTCATAAATGGTGCGCACAAAAGAAAATAAATCAGATTTATACTATAAGACTACGAAGGCACTGTTCACTTGAGAAATCCCAGTATACCTGGAAGTGAAGTCTAGCTTTCTACATAATCTAACCATAAAGAGCCAATGACAAGCCTATGTCATAGACTGTATATAAAAGATTGACTTAACTATGCTGAAATCACTGTTTGGATTTGGATCGTTGGCATACTATGTTTATTTATTTATTTGTGTATTTGTAAGAGTAGTCAAAGTGCTAAGTTATAAGCTAATGCTAGTGTAAGCTAATGCTAGCAAACAAACTTTTTTTTAGCAAGGTACTATGAGCTCTGCACATGCACATACAGATACCTGCTAATTAATTTCAAGTAACACACTAGAACAATAGTAGAATTTCACTCACCAAAATGATCCAACATCATCAGAACGCAGGTTGAGAGGTCCAGTTCAATAACTCAACAGAAGTGAGGCCTAGCAGACAGCTGCTGGCTACATGTCAGTCTCCACCCTGTTTTTATGAAGAGGGAAATTACCAACTGATACTAAAATAACTCTTTCAGGTTGTAAATATGTCAGTTTAGTGGTGAGCACATCGGATTCTTCTTCTGCCTGTCATAGTGGTACAAAATACGGCTGTATAAATGGCTCGCTCACTCGTGGAGTCATGTGTGGAGCTATTTCAGCTCCACAAACAGCCAAGACATGGTTTGCAAGGCCACAAATCTTGTGAAACACAAACAAAAGTCAATTATAACACAGAATTTGGTGATGACTTGAGGAGGAGAGGGACAGGTACTGCTAGGGTGAGATTAGCATACACTATGGTGATGTATACACTACTTTTTAGTAGGATTTTCCAAACACATTAAGATTTTCTACAAAGTATCGGTATCGGATCAGTATTGCTGATTCAAAGCTGAAATGTACTTGGTATTGGATGAGAAAAGAAATCAGTGGTATCACACATCACTGGTTTCTTAGTTTACGTTTGGCCTTTTAAAATGGCATTTCCACAGTGGCTTCATTTTAAGCCTTGGTGGATGCTGGCTATTGCTCAGAAATGAGCTTATCAATGGTTCTTATAATCATTACTTTCTCTGGCAGTATCTGCGCATTAATCATGCAGCGTTATGCACAGTTGGCATCGCAGCATTTACACATTCACAGCAATGAGGCTGACTGATTCACAATTTTACAGAATGAGCTCTATAGTTAATGGTAGCCTGCTTGAATCTGCAAGTAAAAGTCTTGAGAGACACTCAGAATAAGAATATGCCCGTTCGGTTTACATGAAAAGGAGGTGAAAGAGACTGAGCCTATATTCATCTATACACTTCGATATTGATACAGTTGATGTCAAAGAAAGAGTTTCTTGAATCCACTTCGCTCATGCTGCATTTCAACAGCTGGACTGTGGACCCCTCTACTCTCCTCTCTGGGGGTTGTAAATGGGATGGTGAGACACCACTGGAAACTGGAAACTGTGCTACTGTTGGCTTAAGACAAAAAGAATAGGAAAGGGTGAAGACGTGTTAGGAGGCAGCGGGAGAAAAGGAAAAGCAGATGTGGAAATGAGAGTAGTGATTTTTAATGTAGTATAGTAGTAATATAACTGGTAAACGGAGAGAGGAGGCTGGTATTATGGCAAAAAGGAAAGTAGAAATAATGTGTGCAGGGGATGTGGAAAAGGAAGCAAAGCCAGGAGCACTCGAGGTGGATCGAAGCTGTTCTACCATGGTGTAGATAAAAAGAGAAATGGAGTAGGAGGGATCTTGCAGAAAGAGTATATAAACAGTGTTGTGGAGGTGGAGAGTGTCAGACAGGATCACGAGTTTGAAGCTGGAAATCGAAGGGGTGATGTTTAATGCTGGCAGTATGTATGCCCAACAGGTTGGATGTCAGTTAGAAGAGAAAGAGGAATTTTGGAGGAAGTTAGGTGAAGTGTAGAGAGTGTCCCCGGAGGGGAAAGAGTGGCAATTGGAGGTGATTTCAATGGACATGTAGGTGAAAGGAACAGAGGTGACGATGACTGAGCGGCAGTATGGCTTCATGCCAGAGAAAGAGCGCTACAGATGTGATCTTTGTTTTGAAAATGTTGATGGAGAAGTACAGGGGAGGTCAGGAGGAGCTTCAATGTATATGATAGGGTGCCAAAAGAGGATCTGTGATCGTGTATATATGAGTCAGGAGTGGCTGAGAAGTATATGAGGTTGGCGTAGGACATGTGTGATGACAGTGGTGAGGTGTGCAGTACCAGTGACAGATGGGTTTAAGGTGGGGCTGGGATTACATCAGGGATCAGCTTTGAGCATCTTCTTGTTTGCAGTGGTGATGGACAGGCTGGCAGATGAGGTTTGGCAGGCGTCTCTAAGGACTAAGGTGTAAGCAGATGATGTGATCTGTAATGCAAGTAGGGAGCAGGTGGGAGAAAGCCTGGAGAGGTGGAGGTATGCAGTGGAAAGAAGAATGAAAATCAGAATGCATGCGAGGCAGGTGGAAAAGGAAACGTAGAAGCAAAAATATTGAAGGTTAATGAGTTTAAATAACTGGGGTTAACCATCCAGAGCAATGTTGTTGGACATGAGAGGTGAAGAAAAGTGTGCAGGGTGGAGCGGGTGGAAACAAGTGTCAGGGGTGATTTGTGACAGAAGGATAGTGGCAATAGTGAAATGGATTTAGATGAAGGATGGTACTAAGTCCTGCTATGATGGTTTGTAGATAGTGGCACTGACAAAAACACAGGAGGCAGAACTGAAGGTGGCAGAGGTGAAGGGAGGAAGAAAGAACAACAATTTTTTACCAGGAGTGACTAAAATGGACAGGATTAGAAATGAGTATATCAGAGGGGCAGCTCAGGTTGAGCAGCTTGGAGACAAAGTTGGAACCCTGAGATGGTTTGGACATGTGCAGAGGAGGGATAGTGCATTTATTGGACACAGGATGCTGAAGAGGAAGGCCTCAGAGATGATTCACTGATGTAAAGGGGATGCTAGGGGTAAGGTGAGATGGAGCAAGGTGATCAGCTCTGAGGACCCTTAAAGGGAGCAGAAATTCAACAGGTGGGACAACCCTAAGTACAGTTGCAGTGGCTCAGTGTGGGGAAAAGAATCCCAACTCCAAAATTCCTAGCGTGAGCTCCAGTAGATTTTATAATGTACAGGCTGTGATCAGCTGACCTGCTGCTCTTTGTGGATTTACAAAACTTAATGAACAACAATGTCAACAATTTCACAAGCTGTCTTGGCTGGCTTCCATTTCCTACACTAGTAGTATACTGTATATTGTCTCATACTAGACCTACAGCTGGTATAAAGGTTGAAGTCAGTGAATTAATCTATCCGTAAGTACTAAAGCCACTATGCACCAGTCCGACGCAGTGCTTTATTATATATTCGTCACACTACAGCAATCTAATCTCTTTATTCCATTCAACTACTGTATATTTTCTTGCAACATTTAAATAACACAATTATTAAATAATTATTAAATAATATTAAATAACACACTGGAAATACAGCAGCTGGATCTGAGACTAACAACACACTGTGCAACAAACTGCACTCAAACAGTTTGTGTGTTTGTGTGTTTGCTGATAGAAACGCTACATTTGAAATTACCTGATGGTTAAAAAACTTCCTTTATGCTCACACCTCTTCTGTAGTGCTAGCTAAATGCTAAATGGCCTGTATTTGTATAGCGCTTTACTAGTCCCTAAGGACCCCAAAGCGCTTTACACATTCAGTCAGTCAGGTGATGGCAGCTACATTGTAGCCACAGCCACCCTGGGGTGTACTGACAGAGGCGAGGCTGCCGGACACTGGTGCCGGCCCTCTGACCACCACCAGTAGGGAACGGGTTAAGTGTCTCGCCCAAGGACACAACGACCAAGACTGTCGGAGCCGGGGCTCGAACCGGCAACCTTCCGATTACAAGATGAACTGCCAACTCTTGACCCACGATCGCAAAGTACTGAAGCAACAACTTACAGACACCTGCACTAGTTCCTGCTTACTTTAACCGCTGAGTATAAACACTATAAATGATACAGATGAGTCAGAAGTAATAAGCCTGTATTAAAAATGTGAGGGGTAGAAAGTGCAGATATTTATGGAGTAATATATGGAGTAAAAGTAAAAAGTTGTCAGAAAAATATATACTCAAGTAAAGTCCAGATACCTGAAAATTCTACTTTAGTACAGTAACAAGTGTTTTTACTCACTTTCAGATCAGGTTTTATTTATTTTTACGTTTACATAGCTAAACAAAGACAGTGACCATGTAAAATTAATGTGGTATCATGGCCACTGTGAACATGTAAACATCTGAGCCAAAGTACAGTCTCAACTTGGCTAACACTGAGTATACCAGAAGAAGGCAGCTGCTGTAGCCTGACCTCTAGTGCAGAGCTTTG